TTGTTTCCTTATTTATTAGATTATTATAAGATAGTTAAATGGAAATTTAGATAAAATGCTGTTCAAAATTATCTATAATTTAAAATGATGAATAATCTGTAGATGATTTTCCAAATTGTTCAATTTTATACCAAGATATGATATAATATATTGTTTCAGTTTTTTTTTATTCCATTCATTTTTCATCTTCAATCAATGTCATAGAGTTTTTATGATTAATTTTTTTTTCATTTCATTTGCAATATGCTTATAATAATTGATAATTTGTGCTTTGATGAATAAGTAACTTAACATGTTGTGTTGATTAATTTTCATATGTTTTTCACGTAAATTTGATAAAAATCATAACTCTTGCAAAAGTTTACAAAATTTTTGCAGTGTTACATAATTGATAAATTGTGTCTCAATCTTCTAAACATGTATCAAACCTTCAGAATGTATTTCATAAACCAAATTTTTTTATATCAATTCATGAATTTAATTCATTCTTATTTCCAAAATACTTCATGAATTTTGGATCGGACAACATAATCTACATAAACATATATGATTAATATTTTATATTAAATGCAATTGACTTTCTTGCAATTTTTTGTTGAGCTGAAGTTGTGAATCTTTCTTATTCTTCCAACAATAAAATACATATTGATATGAATGTACTTATCATAAAATGAATCAAAAATTTGATTATGATTTCATAAATCCTCATCAAAATTCAAACTTTGTTTAAATTTTGAACATCAGATGCATTGAAAAGACATTGAAATAGTCGCACATTGAGATTATATCAAAAAATCATAATGCACACGTATACTTAAAACATAATAGATTTTGTTCAAAATTATTGATTATGTTCACAAAAAAATCTAAAATTTAGTTCTAAAAAAATTTTATTGTGTTACCAAGAGCTTTTACAAACTGTATTATATATTGACAGATTAATTATAATTGAAGTAATCAAAGTTAAATGCAAATGTCAATTTCAATTATATGTAACATGTTTTACCAATCTCATATTTTGAAGGCTTTAATATACTTGGCATATGTAATTTAAAGCTAATTGAAACAAAGTTGAAACACAAACATAATCAAACAACATACTGAGTGTGCACACAACACATCTTATTCAACACTAGTTGGATGAGTTTTTCAAAATCAATGTATTGTTGCGTAGTATAATCATGACAAATAGTTAATCGAACGTTGCTTGGTTGAATTTTTCAAAATCCAAGTTTTGTTACGTTGTAAAAATCATGACAAATAATGAGTCAAATTACTTTAGCAAATACATATTTTTCAACATCAGTTGGTCGAGTTTTTTAACATTGTGTTGCATAGTATAAATCATGATAAATAATCTTTTTCGATAATCTTTCAAAATATTTCTCACATAACCATCCTTCATTATTTGTGTATAGATATTTCAATTTATCTCAAGCTTAATTCTTAAATTTTAGAAATTAAATTGATATCAGATTTTGGTATGAAAAATAAATCTGAAATTATCATTAATAAAAATATATGATGTACGTTTTTAAAAATGAGGCTTTAAAATTTGATTTCCAAGAGTCATTATTTACATACTTAAATATCTTTATGAAGCTATGAGTTTGAACATCAAATGCTTTTTACTCTTATCTTTTTCATCACCTAATGTTTCTAATCCACTAAGTTAAATTTTCACATATCAATTACCAGCTCATGTTGCCAAGGGTATCAAATACTTGTTATCATAATGAGATCTGTGTGAAAAAATTAACTCTAACTATAATCTCATGATTTAAAATACCAAACAGAAACAACATCAATTCAAAATATAATAAAATGGACTTTATTAAATTTAATATTTTACTTTAGCATGTATAATTTTTTTTAATTTTTTTTTAACATAATCATAATCTCATTTCAAACATTTTTTTTGAGATCTTCCATTCAATTATTTTTGAATCTTATATTCCAAATCGAGTGTAAACTAATTTTACATGGACTGTTAGATAGAAGTTGGATCTTTTATCATATATCAATCTTACATCTTATTATATAATGTAAAAAATGTAATATAAAATATCATTATATAAATTTCATACATCATCAATTTCTTAGATGGATTATATGAAGCATAAATTTGACACTATAAAATAGTGTCACAAACTAATATAGTATTTTTGAATTTCATTTGACAATTATTTTTGACTTGATCATTTTTGCAACATATACAAATATTTGGTATTTTAAGAACTAATATTTGCACTTGAATACAACTCTGGACTTAAAATTTGTTTCATCATTGTAATGATGAAACAAATTATATGATTATATTTGAAACTAATTTAAAGACTTCCTAGATGTAGAGAATGAAAAGTGTAAGTTATAAGTCTACAAAACACTTATAAGTTTGGTGTAGATAATTGTTTACCTGGCATGACGAAACAATACGCATGAAAATGATTGACAAGAAAAAAATTAATAATTTAAAAAGATGAATTATCATTTTTCCATCATTAATTTTTTCTAACATTATGAAAATTAAGAACAAGACCACCAAAACCATCTATGTGATCTTGTATTCGTATATCATAATCTTTCATCTATAATCTCTTTAGTATAAAAAAAATAGAACTTATATGATGAATCTTTGCAATAAAATTGACTCAAAAATTTTCAACAATAAAATATAATAATAATATTCATTCATTTATTTAATGTAAAGATTTTTTAATTTAATATACAAATATTTACAACTTATGTTTTAAGATACTTCTGATTGTTGAAGAAGAAGATTTTAGATATCAACATATATCCAAACTTGTTATCTTTAGTTTGAATTTAAATTTACTATTTCAAAACAGATTGTTCATCGAATTTTATTTATGCTATATCTATTACTTCAAAATTCTATCAAATCCTAGATGTAATTTTTTTTGCATAATCTGTGCATAAAACTATTCTATTCATTCATAAAATCAATCCTTGAAATAAAATTTTTGTTCTTCTTGTAAACTTTGTGAAATTTTGATTTATCATTCTGACTAGTGTCACAACATTAACAATCTTTTTCTATTATCACTGCTAGAATGTTTATGTTTGAATCAAAAATAATCAATTTGCATCCAAATATTGCTATTTACTTTAATTTGAACATTGCAAACACAAAATAAACTTTACACAACTCACTTCATCAACAATTCCAGTATTAGAAAGATTAGTTTTTTTAAAAATTAAGCTTTCAACAATTATTCACTTAGTGTGATCTAGATATTTACTAAGACTTTTGGACGTACTGATCTCATATTATATGGTTTACATTTAATTCATCATGATTCTAGAAGGTTTTTATCTCACCTACATACCCATGTTTTAACATATTTTCACCAAAACTTTCAACTTAACAATAGCACAAATTGTTACATATACCCTAATATCATTTTTATATCCAAAATTTTTTTGATGAAAAAAATAATCTCACAACTCCTTTTATGACTGATTGAGATTCTATTATGCAAGTTTTTATTTACAATTTTTCAATAATTATCACAGTAAAGCATGATAATTACTGCCTAACTTACTTTCACTAAGATTGATCTTGGTAGATTTGACTAATTTCATAAAAATTATTATTTTTTAACATGTTAATAGACTTTGATAACATGTTAATTTTGATTAGTAAACATAAATCTAAGTTTGATTCAATCTTACTATTGAATTTTTAACTCCCTCATGTTAATACTAAAATTACTCTACTTTCATACTTTTCAACTATGAAAGTAATAAAAATTTTTAAAAGAAGTTTTATTTTAGAATTTTGAATCTAATTTTATCAAAAAGATTATCCAATCATTTTGCTTAGATGATTTCAACTTCAATTTAATAATTGTGATATCTTATGAATAACTATTGTACTTTCATTCATTCGTCTCATGATCATAGCTCGAGAATTATACAATTGCATCAAGAGTTGATGATTTCTGATACTTTTAATTTCTTCAATTTTTGTTGCATCGTCTTAAAAATAATTAAATCAAATTATCAATCAAATATCATAGATTTATTGATTTATTTTCTCATCACATAATTGAAACTAAGATGTCAAATTTTTACTAAAAACAATTGTATGTCATGATTAACAACTTTTAACATCAAAAATTCAATTAGAACTTTAACATTTAATGTCTAAAGTTGAAAAATTCAAAATCAATGAAATAAGCTTGCTTATTCCATACAAAATCAACGTCAACTAGATAAAATAAGATATCAGTAAATCAAGTAAAACAACTTCAGCATTTTAAAATTATGAAAATTTTAATCACGAATTTAGTTTTGAGTTATTCAAGTAATATAATCTACTTGGAACATTCACAAAAATGATTAGATTCACATAAGGATTAGATTTGTTACATGTCAAGTTCAATAACTACACCATTATAACATTTAATTCAAAATGTGTACTTCAAATTTTCTAACGGGTTGCTGGCCCTCGGATCCCATCCAGCGACCTATGTTGACTACGCTATGATGGTTGCAAAATATCGTCATTCATGTGAGAGCATCGATCCAGGTTTTGTGAGTATAACTTGAGAGGAAGAAATACTTTCTTCCTCTCAATTTAAAATTTAATATTCGTTTTCAGATAACTCAACTTGAAAACTTTACAAAATAAATTATCTACTATTAAACTGTCGGAGTTTGCATGCGATTGTGCATATTTGACTTTTGTGCACATCTGCACTTTGGCTACCTAATTGCTCAGAGTTTCCGCCTAGATTCAACTCTGACTCTTACAACCATGTAAAGGTCATACTTTCTTGTCATGAGTTCTTAATCATTTTTGTAGTTGGACATTTAGATCCATTGGCTGGTCTTGAGATGCAATGAAAGGGTCTTCGATCCAACATTTGGAGCACATTTAGCAAGCTTAGATCTATGGTCGTGTCTCATTCCATGGAGTTATTATTTACATGAAAAGCATCAATAACCCTTCAGCAATACAATAGTTGCCACAAACTTCACTTGTAAGGATTTGGTATCGACTTACATTTGGAATCTGATCCCGCAACTTAACCAAATAATGCACTGAGTCCTCATCACTTGACTAACGGTTAGTGCGGTGTTATCCTCGGAACTGAAACGAATGTGATGGGCAAATTCACGGATCAGTCAAAAGTTAGGGCTCTTCAGCTCCTCACCCCAAAATCTCACCGGTCCCGAAAATGGCGGAGTTAGCTAAAGCCTTGTTAAGAGAGATGCGAGCCGATAACGAGCTAGTAACCGGCATTCGGGAAGCGCAGAGAAACTTCCCCCTGGCTTTAGCGAGCAGGATAGACTTTGCCTGTTATCGTCAGCCGGTTCTGTGCCACGAGTGCATTGAATTCTGGAGAGAGATTATCACCAGCTCCACATTCACGAAGATGCAAGATCCGTAGTTTGGGTAGTGACGCGAGGGAAGGAGGGAGCTCAATAAGAGACTTGGTTTTTTCAAGTTCGAGCTCCTCGAGGTCTGTAAACACGCTCCAGTCGAAAGTTTCGTCCAGTTTCTTCAGCTGAAAACATAAACTTAGACTTATATACTGCAGCTTTATCAGGGAACTCAAGGTCGGTGGCAATTTCTTCATCTGAGCCCATCCGCTCATTCTCAAGATCCGTAAAGCGGGCATAGCACCCGATCGTAGCACTGGAAATTCGTCCATCGATACCTCTTCACAAGCGTACATGTCCAGCTCTGTGAGAGATGGAAATCCATCTGGTCGACCAAAAGAGTTTGGTAGTTGCTTGATGTGTCGACAGCCAGATATATCAAGACACTCGAGGTTTGGAAGCTCATCAAGAGCAGGAAGATGTTTCAAGGAAGAGCAGCTCTTGAGATCTAGCCGTCTGAGCTCTGGCAGTGACTCGACTCCAAGTGGAAGGCTCAACAGGTCTTCGCACCTGCTTAGAACTAATGTTTGCAGGGCAGTGAGATTTGAAATGTCAGGAAGAGAGCTAACTCGGATGAAGTTGACTTGCAGATGCCGGAGGCTCTTAAGGCAACTAAGCTGGAGAGGGAACGGGTATGACGGTCCAGGGAGAATGGAAAGGTTGCTGATTTTCAACGTTGTCAAAGATGTCAGCGAGGCTACATCCTGGAGAATAGCGGCAGGCTGAATGCGGATCAACCTCAACAAAGCACCTGTGATGCTCTTGGAACTGGCCCCTCCATTCCACACGTAAGTGTCGGAAAGGTTAAGATTTTCTAGTTTTCTGAGACCCTTGATGGCTCTAGGCAACGAAACCAACCTTTTGCAATTATCTATTTGAAGATCCCGAAGTTCTTCCAACTCCTCAATAGTACTCGCTACTCTCTCAAGCTGTGCGCAATATGAGAGCTTAAGAAGAACCAGGCGTTTCATAGTGCTAAAGGCTGCGTCGGGTATCTGTTGAATCCTTGTACGGCTGAGATCCAGTACCCTCAGTTGCTTCAAGTTCAGAAAGAATCCTCGAGGCAGCAACGATAGATTCTCGTTACTTCTCAGAAGCAGCACTTGGAGCTCAGGGGCAGCCAGATGAGACGGTAGCTCCTGTATCAGATTATTCATCAACGACAATCTTTTTGCTGAAAGATGCTTTATCTCGACTTCGTCGTCAGGAATCCACTCTTGCGGAAATGTCGTCAACTGCCTCCCCGGTTCATACAGACAGACCCGCTCATGTACCACCTTGTCGTGTTGCAGGTTGTACCGAGCCAGGTCCCGAAGCACATCGTGAACTTTACAGGTCATGAATTCATGAGAAGAAGCAGCAGCAATCCCTGGGTTTTTGACTTTCAGCTCAATCAAGCATCTTGCAATGAGCCAGCCCAAAAGCTCATAAGCCTCATCCTCAGGGGGATAATCTTTCCGTCTTCCAAGTATTCCCTCTCCCACCCACAAACTGATCAGATCATCCACTAATTCGACACTTGCGTCTTCGGGATACGCAGCAAAGTAGTAGAAGCAATCTTTCAAATGACGATGCGTTTCGGACAAATCGTCAACGCTGGGTTGCAAGCGATGATAGAGTTGCATTTCATGGTCGGAGCTGAGTGTCTCGGCGTTCTTCAGCTTCTTCAACGTCAGATCCCAAATGCGCTTGTCCCTCTTGCCGGCCATCGTCCCTCCGATGACTTTCAGGGCTAAGGGGAGCCCCTTGCACTCTGCCGCCACATCCTCAGCTGGTTTGCGTAAATTTATCGGAACGTTGCTCACACCCGAAAAGGCATGCCAACAGAAAAGCCTGAAGCTATCCTCTGGTTTCAGCATGGGCACTTCAATTTTCGTAGCGTGTTTCCTGTCCAGTAACTCTTGACTGCGCGTGGTCACCAAAATTTTGCTCCCAGACGAAGATGAATGATTCACAAATGCATCAAAGACGTCCAAAATTCTCGACTTCCATACATCATCCAACACCAGCAACAGCTTCTTCCTTTGCCCTTGAAGTTGAAGTTCATGGCATACTTGCTGTGCATAGACCTCCTCGGAACTGGAGGGTGGGGGCAGGCGTGCACTTAGCATTCTCAACAGAGATCGGAGAATCTCTTTGATGTTTGGATCCCGAGCAACTGTTAACCAGAAAATCCTGTCCTCGAAATGTTGCCTCAGTGGGGGATCATTTAACAGTCTTGAGGCCAACAGGGTTTTTCCAGCACCACCCATGGACCAAAGCCCTACCCACCGACCTCCATCTTCTTCGAGGAGAATTGACCTCGCAGAGTCCAAAAGCTCATCGCCACCAAAAACCCGAGCGCTGATCTGTCGTTCAAACTGACGTTGCGGAGACGGAAATTTATCTGCAGAACTTCCGATTGCTGAACCTTGAGTCAGTGTCAAGAAGTGCTCGTCAGCTTGTCCTCTGATATCCTCAAATGCACGATCAACTGTGATGGTTCCATATGGTATGCCATAGTTGTTGGTAGGGGTGTTGACTGTCACCCGTGTGATCCGAGAGAGGTCAGCACAGTGAACTTCGTGTATCAGATCACTCTGCAATTGATTTGCGTTCTTCATGCTCTCTTGCAGATCAGCCAGTATCTTATTCTGTTCGTCAGTAGTCTCCTTTGTGTATCCCAGCTGAACCAGCGGTGCTTGCCCCACAAGATCGGTGATTCCCCTAGTCACTTCAACGAGCTTCTTCGAGGTGGATCTGTTCTTCACGATGTTCCAAGGCCTGGATCCCTGGCTGATGCACTCACGCACCACTTTATCCGCTTCTTCCAGTCGGGATCGAAGTTTCTCCAGCCACTCTGTTACAGGCGTTGACTTGTTCTGACCCTGCCCTTTTTTTGAGCTATCACATAGGAATTGCACAAGTGGTGCCAAACCCTCAAGCAGCACGAGCAATGCCTTACAATTTTTGTTACGATCCACAGCTTGCTTGACTGCATCGATCAGCCCCTGAAGCAACAGCTCGACTCCAAAGCCGATGACAACGCTTACAAGCTCAGCCATTGCAACGTAATTGTTGTAGACTGCAGCTGCTCCCTCGACATACAAAACGTATGGCCCCACACCTACAGACAACTTGCCTGGACAATGTGGTCCTCTGTAATTAGCATCTGAGTAGAACGTTGAGCTTGTAATATCGTAAATCAGCTTTTTTAAGACGACAACTTACAAATCATTCCCAAATGTGGAAAACTATCTTCCGCTAGTACTAAGATATATCTGACTATCTGATACTTGAATAAGACTACGGAAAAAGAGATAAACTTTTAATTGGAGAAACCTTTATATATATATATTTGGTTTGATTGCCACTCTTTTGCCTGTGGGATGACAAAACCCAAGAGGTTTAGGCATGAAGCAGTTCACAAACCTGCAACGTCTAGGGTGAAATGATCGCTACTTACCACCAACATGGAATTCAACAAGCAGACAAGCGAACCGAGATTATCGCGACGGACAGTATTTCCCTGGCAATTTTTCATCCCACCTTCACGTCCTGCAAAGTATTGGACCCACAACGCCCTGAACAGAGCACGCAACACAGCCAAGTCCATGTCAGTCGGACACAATGAATGCACTTTCTGCATGCGAGGGCAGGGTCGGGGCATCTGGAAGTGAAATTCTGCTGACTGAGATCTTTGTTGCAGAGAAACGTGATTTCGTGAGAAAACGAGTAATCTTCAGATGAATCATAATCGGCGTACTCAAGAGTGACGGAGTACAGCTTTCTCTGAGTGTGGATGTTCAGCAGACGTACTTCGCATCTACAGAAGAAATCAAATTGAAATTGTCGACATTCTGATGAGGTGTGCGGGCTAAAAAGATTTCCATCAGCGAAACTAAAACAATTTCTCAATTATATATTTTTATCCTCATCCGCGTCTCATGAGCAGGTGGTTACCTGCGTGCTGGCTTGGTGCTGTATCGGTGTCCGTCGTCTCCTGTGCATAAACTTTCCTTCCCGTTATCGCTCGTATTCCATCGACGAAGCTCACCGGGCGTGGAGGGCCATTTGAGCACGAGTGCACTCTGTTTTGGACAGGAGTGCGAATGCTCACATTGTCTGTCAGTGTCGTCCGTTGAGTTTTGAGGCAGGAGTGATGGTGTCGCCGTCATGTAAAGCCACCCCGACCGTATGCCTCCGGGCTGACGGCAGGAGCCCTTCATACGAGCACAGTTCGGGCGTCGCCGTTACTCACCCCGTTCGGCCTCGGCCCGGCTAAGTTTGTCGCTAAAGTTGAAGGTGTTAAAAGCTAAAGTTAAAGTCGAGAGTACTTGGTCTGGAGCGGAGGAGTCGACAGCTCTTTGCTTTCGCGCATCTTTTGTCTCTAGTCTTCTATTCGAACCCTCGTTCTTCTTCTTGTTGTCCGCTTTCTTCATAAACCAAATGCGTGGAGAAGTGAAGATGTCAACGCTGCAGCATGCTGAGCAACGAGGAGTGATTCCGTCGATGTTATCTTTGCTGTGAATTGTGGTGGCGAATTGCTCCGGCCCATCAGTGCCGGTCAATCCTGAAGTTAAATAATGCGATGTCAAATAATTTCTTACTGAGAACGCTGTCAAACCAATTTCCGAGCACTCAATTGAAAATTCTGGTAGGCATCGAAGTGACTATTATTGTGGAAGTGTACACTTGCTTCACGATCTTTTACTTACAATTCGCGATTGGAAGCTTTACAATGAAGCTAATGTTAAAGCAAGCCACTGATTTGCGAAATACGAAACTACTTGTATTTAAAAAACCCCAGAATACTGCACTTTTGCTTAGATGAATCCAATTATCACTAAGGATTTAGACGATCCTTGTCTTATGCTGGTGAATGATTATTACTTTTGTGAGCATGCAACCCAATCAACGTCACTGGATAGACCATATTGTGTGGCCTGTGAGGGTGAGCTTTGGCATGTACCTTCTTACGGGACAGGATTTAGTTGTCAAGACTGAAGGAAACTGTTGGTACTTTGGGGATTCATACCAATCAATCCAGTGCACAATTCATTCATTTGGCTTTTAACTCTTCAAAACATGTTCGTTTTACGAACCCCCAGTTTTGCAATTGATGGTCTCGAGCAAGGGGGTGACAGATATCAGGGCTTTGTTGATATCTCAGCGTAAATCGCATTTCACGAACTGATAGAATGAGAACATACCAATAGAGACAAGCCTAGATCCGAATTTTAAAACACCAGTCCTCAAGTGATTAACATCAGGCATACCGAACACTAGAGAGCCCTGGATTCGATAATTACAAGAAGAGAAGTTTTTTCACTCGCATTTACGTAGCGCACTGTCTGAACTGTGTTGATGGCCTATCATCACAGCAAGAAGACTACACACGAAGCCAACAGATTGATAGGCAGGTTCAATCAGTATCCCATAATCAGAAGACATTTTGAAAATCCTACGAACGTATCCATTTTACATTCCATCAAGAATCCTTATTAACCTTCGAATTATTAACCCTACTGACGATACTGCTGCGATATATATCAAGCCTTGTGAATTTCACGTAATGTACAATTGTCGATAGAAAAGCACCGTATGCAAAAATACTAAACTGGCTCATTACATGTAATCAGCGTACATCTTTGTTTCTTGATACCCCTCTAGAACACTTTTTGTGTGGCTGGGTTGCACTCAACATGCAATTATTCGAAGCTTAATGCAGAAAATCTTCTATGAAGCCCTGGACGTTAAGCAAAGAATAAATAGAGATATTCCATGAATAATTTACTGTTAGTTTTATGGTTGCATATTTCCTTGAAGATTTGGTCTCTCGTCTTTATGGCATGTTCCTCACTATTAAACCCAGCCGAAGCATCTGCTTTGGCTGGGTTTAGTAGTGAAATGCTTTGAATAGAAAGGAACAGAAATGATGCTTTTACGTGACAGCGGGTAATTCTCCATACGATGTTCTTCTGCGCGTCCAAGGCCACCAAGGAAGATCATTACATCTGAGATTGGAGCAAGGAGCAGCAGGCCAGCGGTCTTCAAATGCTAAGTTGAGATTCGCCGAAAATGATAAGGACGAGAGGAGTCGCCAGTTCGCAACCGGTATCCTTCGAAGAATCGACTCGTGTGAATCGGCTTGGAATCAACACGGCCTATGGTCAACTTAACCACAAATCAGCTATCATAATCCTTCACGCAAAGGATTATTGCGTGAAGGATCTATCAGTCACATGGATTACTGGCACTCCAGAGACCTTCTTTCTACCCACTCTGTAATCAACACCACCCTTCTAAGAGTGGTCCGTTGTGTGAATCGGTTTGAGAGAAGCTCCCACTTCCACCTCAATCAACGTCCACGTTTAAAAACATGGAATGCCCTGCGGATGCAGCTATAATATTGCTCCTGAAAGAGAAGAAAATTGGACAAGAAGAGTGAGGGTTAGAATAGAATACTAGAGAGAAGAGGCAAGAAAGTCAAGAGCTTGTCAGCTACGCCGAGTCCAGACCAAGTACTCTCGCACACCTCAGTGAACTTTAGCGACTTTAACTTAGCAGTCCCTTCCGTACCAACGGTGTGCGTAACGGCGAGGACACAAAGGTGTTCGTATGAACGTACCCGGCCGTATGCGGAAAACGAATACGGTCGGGGTGGCTGAACTCAAAAGTCGTGTAAGCGCCACCTGAGCTCTTCGCTCTGGCTGGCTGGCTGGGTGGCTGTGTGTGTAAGCAGCGGCAACTCGTTAAGGGCACTTCGGCTACACCTAGGAGAGTTGTCCGATCTGACAATTCTTCCGACACTAGACCGTTGCCAAATCAAAAACAGTGCTCTCCACGATTCTAGAAAATTGTCCACAAGAGGTAACAAAGCTCTCAACAAAACTTGCGGCTAATACAACAAAGTCTCAAAATAGCAGCTCTGAAGTACGTCGGTTAAACATATTGCTGAAGAAGGGAAAGAGCTATGGGGATACAGTTTACCTCTTTCTTGTAATGGGTATATGCAGGTATGGTTATAACAGCCAATTACCTAAATATGGTTAATTTTGTCTCTTAAAAAATATTAATTTAGTTTAATAAAAACTTAATTTAGGCCAATTTAACTTCTAAAAATGAGATTTAGTTTATTAAATTTTTTTCTCTAAAAAAATTAAATATAGAAATTATATTTAAAATATTTTTTTCGTTAATTTAGAAATAATATATCAAAATATCCATCAGTTTTACATAAGTATCCCCTTCCCGTTGGTTGCAACATGCAGGCACCAAATCACACCCACCTCCATTTAGGCGCCTAATCACCGGACCATTTAAGTAATTTAGGCCACGATATATAAGATCGCCTAATACAAACATGACGGGGTATATGAGAAGTCTAGACTTGTTTGAAGAAGCTATGAACCAATCCATTTAGAGAGATGATGGATTGCCACTATCTCACATTCACAGAGCTGAAGATGGAAATGATAAGCTACCGCTAATATTTCATGTTTTGAAAGAAAGGATCAAACATTTTCCTCTTCACGTGTTCGACTATGAAATTTGCTTTATGCTAACTGCCATCGTGCGAAGACATGTATATTTGAAGGTGTGTAAGCTGTCAAGCACAAACAGAGCTCGTCCATGGGGGAACGAGGGCTCTCAATTGAATCATACAGACTGACATTCTCGACAGAGGCCATTGCAGATCAGTGCACTGCCGGATGCTAGAAAGTCCAAAAGATTTGACGAAATGAATTGAAACAGAATTCCTTGAGGTCAAGAAGGATGTCTCAGAATTCCTGTGCCCTTAAACATGTGAAATTTACAGTGAACTTCTTGACAACAACATTCAATTGTTCCACCCACACATATGTGGAGAAGTACTCCCATCAAACTGTGTAATTGGACACAAGATGAATACGGAATGTATTTCTGATGGACGATGATTGCAATAGCGTTATATTAATCACTCTCGATGTATTAAAAGTGCTAACCTTTCTACTTCAGTGAGAGATGCGGTAAAGTTAAGGTAATAGACCTAGAAGTTGTAGCAGGAATACAAATATTCAGTGTTAATGCTACCATGCTGGTTACTAAGTCCAGCATAAGTTCGAATCCTATTGGACTTACTCGTTCAATTTAAATCAATATTGATTCATCTCAATTAACAGCGAACATACAAGATGTGATGTAAATTCTGCTTGAAAATGAATAAGAGAATGCACGATAGGGATATGTTAAATGTACAGGTATCAATCGTTCGAGGAATACTTCTTTGGGGCATATGTGCGTGTTCTGTATCAAATGTAAAAGGAAATCTAGGATTCTTATGGCAAAACTTGCAAATAGTTTATCGTGCATGATCCATTTGTTAGCGAATAATACCGCAGAAGTTGCAACCTCCTCTTGAGAGGCAAAGCAACACCTCTCTGCTATGCAATTTGCGAAATTAAAGTGCGAGTTGAAATCCGACAGAGTCTAAGTTTTCATATAAGAGGGTCTACCTTAGAGGGCACCTCCTTGAGCAAAGGTGTCATCCCTTGTGATACATGAAGCATGTATGTCTAATTTACACACAACACTACCACTCTTCCTTCAACCGGAAGTTCTGAAAATCATGTGTCTTGGTGTACTTTGATACTTTATACTCTGGACATTCTTGAACAAGAAATTGTGTAGGAGCGCAGGTTCCGACATAATTGAGAGAGTGTACACATTATACAGATACACGTCTATACATTAATCAGATAGTGGTAGGCTTGAGTGAAGAGAGAGAGAGAGATGGTAGCTGTTGTAGCATGTAGGCATGCTCGTCACCTGAAAGTTCTGAATCACATGAGTTCATGACCTGTTTCGCACGCAACTTCCAGTATCTGTTTCACTTCGTCAGTAGATTCATATTAGATTTCATTCGTCATAGATTTTTGTATCCCAGCTGAACCAGCGGTGCTTGCCCCACAAGATCGATGATTCCCCTCGTGACTTCAACGAGTTTCTTCGAGGTGGATCTGTTCTTCACGAGTCAGTGTCAAGAAGTGCTCGTCAGCTTGTGCTCTGATATCCTCAAATGCACGATCAACTGTGATGGTTCCATATGGTATGCCATAGTTGTTGGTAGGGGTGTTGACTGTCACCCGTGTGATCCGAGAGAGGTCAGCACAGTGAGCTTCGTGTATCAAATCACTTTGCAATTGATTTGCGTTCTTCATGCTCTCTTGCAGATCAGCCAGTATCTTATTCTGTTCGTCAGTAGTCTCCTTCGTGTATCCCAGCTGAACCAGCGGTGCTTGCCCCACAAGATCGGTGATTCCCCTAGTCACTTCAACGATTTTCTTGGAGATGGATCTGTTCTTCACGATGTTCCATTGCATGGATCCCTGGCTGATGCACTCACGCGCCACTACTTCCGCTTCTTCCAGTCGGGATCGAAGTTTCTCCAGCCACTCTTTTACAGGCGTTGACTTGTTCTGACCCTGCTCTTTTTTTGAGCTATCACATAGGAATTGCACAAGTGGTGCCAACTCCTCAAGCAGCACGAGCAATGCCTTACAATTTTTGTTACGATCCACAGCTTGCTTGACTGCATCGATCACCCCCTCAAGCAACCGCTCGACTCCAATGCCGATGACAACGCTTACAAGCTCAGCCATTGCAACGTAATTGTTGTAGACTGCAGCTGCTCCCTCGAGTGACAAACCGTATGGCCCCACACCTACAGACAAATTGCCCGGACAATGTGGTCCTCTGTAATTAGGGTCTGTAATTAGCATCTGTTTAGAACGTTGAGCTTGTAATCTCTTAAATAGCTTTTTTAAGACAACTTACAAATAATTCCCAAATTTGGATTACTATCTTCCGCTAGTACTAAGATATATCTGACTATCCCTTGAGCCTTGAGGTACTTTTAATCGGAGATACCTTTACATGAATGACGGTAAGAGGTGTGTACGAGAGATTGCATAATTATAACATTGTCAATAATTTTCAGAGTTCACAATCACATCTTGTCAATTTTCTAAGGGCTGGAATCCCATGAAGTGGGAAATGAGTAAACATTTCAACTTATTTCAAGTTGGTATAAGTTTAAGTTTGTGGGTTGTCATGGCTAGAGGATTCTGATATCGAACTGTTGCTGGCATTGCTGATAATTGAGTATTAGAATTTCTAGAATTTATAAAAGATCTAGATCTAGATCTAAGCCTGTTGTAGAGACATGATCTAGAAATGATAGCGAACTATTGATGTTCACTACCATGGGACGAATAAACCCAAGAGGTTTAGGCATGAAGCTTCAGAGAGAAGCAGTTCACAAACCTGTATCGTCTAGGGTGAAATGATCGCTACTTACCACCAATACGGAATCCAACAAGCAGACAAGCGAGCCGAGATTATCGCGACGGACAGTATTTCCCAGGCTATTTTGCATCCCACCTTCACGTTCTGCAAAGTATTGGACCCACAACGCCCTGAACAGAGCAAGCAGCACAGCCAATTCCATGTCAGTCGGACACAATGAATGCACTTTCTCCATGTGAGTGCAGCTTCGGGGCATCTGGAAATGAAGTTCTGATGACTGAGATCTTTGCTGCAGAGAAACATGATTTCATGAGGAGACGAGTAATCGTCAGATAAATCATAATAGGCGTCCTTAACAGTGTCGAAGTACAGATGCTTCTGAGTGGGGTGTTTAGCAGAGGTACTTCGTTTCCACAGAAGAAATCAAATTGACATGGTCGACATTCTGATCACGTGTGCGGGCTAAAAACCTTGCCATCAGCGAAACTAAAACTATTTCTCAATTTTCTAGTTTTATGCTCATCCGCGTCTTATGAGCATGTGGTTACCTGCGTGCTGGCTTGGTGCTGAATCGGTGTCCTTCGTGTCTTGTGCATAAACTTTCCTTCCCGTTATCGCTCGCATTCCATCGACGAAGCTCACCGAGCGTGGAGGGCCATTGGAGCACGAGTGCACTCTGTGTGAGACAGGAGTGCGAATGCTCACATTGTTTGTCAGTGTCCCCCGTTGACTTTTGAGGCAGGAGTAATAGTGTCCCCGTCTGACAAGACTTTCCAGTAAAGCCACCCTGACCGTATGCCTGCGGGCTGACGGCCGTTCATACGAACACCGTTCGGGGCTCGCCGTCAGTCACACCTTTCAGCCGGACGGACTGATAACTTGATTGCGGTGAGCTGGTTGGTTTGGAGACGGAGGATGTCCAGACCAACTAAATTTCTTTGCTTTCCCGAATCTTCTGTCTCTAGTCTTCTATTCGAACCCTCGTTTTTCTTGTTGCTGTCCGCTTTCTTCAGGAGCCAAATGCTTTGAGAAGTGATGATGTCAACGCTGCAGTAGTCTGCTCAACGATGAGTGATATCGGAGTGCCGTCGATGCTATCTTTGCTGTGTATTGTGGTGGCGAATTGTTCGGCCCATCAGTATCTGTCAATCCCAAAGTTAAATAATGCGATGTCAAATAACTTCCGACTGACAACGCTGTCAAAACAATATCCGAGCACTCAATTGAAAACTCTGGTAGTCATAGAAGTGACTGTTACTGTGGCGTGTTCACTTGTTTCACGATCTTTCACTTACATTTCGCGATTGGAAGCTTTACAATCGAACTGTTGTTAAAGCAAGCCACTGTTTTTCGAAATACGAAACTACTTGTACTTTGATGAATCCAATTATCACTAAGACTATAGACGATCCATGTCGGAATGATTATTACTTTTGTGAGCATGCAACCCAATCAACGTCACTGGATAGACCGTATTGTGTCGCCTGTGAGGGTGAGCTTTGACATGTACCTTCTTTCGGAACAGGAATTTCGGAAGGTAACTGATGGTACTTTGGGGCTTCATATCAATCAATGCACAATTCATTCCTTTGGCTCATTAACTCTTGAATACATGTTCGTTTTATAAAACCCCAGTTTTACAATTGATAGTCTCCAGCAAGCGGATGACAGATATTAGGGCTTTGTTTATAGCTCAGCGTAAATTGGAATTCACGAAATGAACGAATGAGAACATACCAAGGGAGACAAGCCTAGATCAAAATTTTAAAACACCAGTCGCTAAGTGATTAACATCAGGCACACCGAACACTAGAGAGCCCTGGATTCGATAATTACAAGAAGAGAAGTTTTTTCACTCGCATTTAGGTAGCGCACTGTCTGAACTGTGTTGATGGCCTATCATCACAGCAAGAAGACTACACACGAAGCCAACAGATTGATAGGCAGGTTCAATCAGTATCCCATAATCAGAAGACATTTTGAAAATCCTACGTACGTATCCATTTTACATTCCATCAAGAATCCTTATTAATCTTCGAATTATTAACCCTACTGACGATACTGCTGCGATATATATCAAGCCTTGTGAATTTCACGTAATGTACAATTGTCGATAGAAAAGCACGGATTGCTAAAATGCTAAACTGGCTCATCGCATGTAATCAGCGTATATCTTTGTTTCGTTCTTGATACCTCTCTAGAACACTTTTTGTGTGGCTGGGTTGCACTCAACATGCAATTATTCACAGCTTAATGCAGAAAATCTTCTATGAAGCCCTGGACGTTAAGGGAAGAATAAATAAAGATATTCCATAAATAGTTTACTGTTAGTTTTATGGCTGCATATCTCCTTGAAGATTTGGTCTCTCGTCTTTATGGCATGTCCCTCACGACTTAACCCAGCCAAAGCTGGATTTACTCATAAATCCCTGCCTCACTACACAACCCAGCCAAAGCATCTGCCAGTCTGAAAATGCTTTGAATAGAAAGGAACAGAAATGATGCTTTTACGTGAAAGCGGGTAATTCTCCATACGATGTTCTTCTGCGCGTCCAAGGCCACCAAGGAAGATCATTACATCTGAGATTGGAGGAAGGACCAGCAGGCCAGCCGTCTTCAAAATGCTAAGTTGAGATTCGCCAAAAATGATAAGGACGAGAGGAGTCGCCAGTTCCCAACCGGTATCCTTCGAAGAATCGCCTCGGCCTATGGTCAACTTAACCACAAATCATCTATCATAATCCTTTGCGTGAAGGGTCTATCAGTCACATCGATTACTCGGACTCCAGAGAACTTCTTTTCCACCCACTCTGTAATCAACACCACTCTTCCAAGAGTGGTACATTGCGTGAATCGGTTTGAAAGAAGCTAACACTTCCACCTGAAGCAATGTCCACACGTTTAAAAACATGGAATGAGCTGCAGATGCAGCTATAATATTGCTCTTGCAAGAGAAGAAAATTGGACAAGAAGAGTGAGGGTTAGAATAGAATACTAGAGAGAAGAGGCAAGAAAGTCAAGAGCTTGTCAGCTACTCCGAGTCCAGACCAAGTACTCTCGCACACCTCAGTGAACTTTAGCCACTAACTTAGCAGTCCCTTCCGTACCAACGGTGTGCGTAACGGCGAGGACACAAAGGTGTTCGTATGAACGTACCCGGCCGTATGCGGAAAACGAATACGGTCGGGGTGGCTGAACTCAAAAGTCGTGTAAGCGCCACCTGAGCTCTTCGCTCTGGCTGGCTGGCTGGGTGGCTGTGTGTGTAAGCAGCGGCAACTCGTTAAGGGCACTTCGGCTACACCTAGGAGAGTTGTCCGATCTGACAATTCTTCCGACACTAGAAGCTCCCACTTCCACCTCAGGTTTGAGAGAAGCTCCCACTTCCACCTCAATCAACGTCCACGTTTAAAAACATGGAATGCCCTGCGGATGCAGCTATAATATTGCTCCTGCAAGAGAAGAAAATTGGACAAGAAGAGTGAGGGTTAGAATAGAATACTAGAGAGAAGAGGCAGGAAAGTCAAGAGCTTGTCAGCTACTCCGAGTCCAGACCAAGTACTCTCGCACACCTCAGTGAACTTTAGCGACTTTAACTTAGCAGTCACTTCCGTACCAACGGTGTGCGTAACGGCGAGGACACAAAGGTGTTCGTATGAACGTACCCGGCCGTATGCGGAAAGCGAATACGGTCGGGGTGGCTTTGTACAAAAGTCTTGTAAGCGCCACCTGAGCTCTTCGCTGTGCCTGGCTGGCTGGGTGGCTGTGTGTAAGTAGCGGAAGCTCGTAACTTTCTATGGCTTTCTTGTATAAGGGCACTGTGGCTACACCTAGGGGAGTTGTCAGATCTGACAATTCTTCCGACACTAGACCGCTGCCAAATCAAAAACAGTGCTCTCCACGATTCTAGAAAATTGTCCAGAAGAGTTAAACAAAGGTCTCAACAAAACTTGCGGCTATTAGGACAAGGTCTCAAAATAGCAGCTCTGAAGTAGGTTAAACATATTGCTGAAGAAGGGAAAGAGCCATGGGGATACAATTTCTCTCTTTCTTGTGTAGGGGTATATGCAGATATGGTTATAACAGCCAAAATTACCTAAATGTGGTTAATTTAGTTTCTTAAAAAATTAATTTAATAAAAACTAAATTTAGGCTAATTTAATTTCTAAAATGTAATCTAGTCTATTAAAGTTTTTTCTCTAAAAAAATTAAATGTAGAAATTATTTTTAAATTATTTTTTCCTTAATTTAGAAATAATATATCAAAATATCCATCAGTTTTACACAGGTGTCCCCTTCCCATTGGTTGCAACATGCAAGCACCAAATCACACCTACCTCCATTTAGGCGCCTAATCACCGGACCATTTAACTAATTTAGGCCACGATATGTAAGATCGCCTAATACAACCATGAGGGGGTATATGAGAAGTCTAGACTTGTTTGAAGAAGCTATGAACCAATCCATTTAGGGAGATGATGGATTGCCACTATCTCACATTCACAGAGCTCAAGATGGAAATGATAAGCCACCGCTAATATTTCATGTTTTGAAAGAAAGGATTAAACATTTTCCTCTTCACGTGTTTGACTATGAAATTTGCTTTATGCTAACTGCCATCGTGCGAACACATGTATATTTGAAGGTGTATAAGCTGTCAAGCACAAAACAGAGCTCGTCCATGGGGGAACGAGGGCTCTCAATTGATTCATACAGACTGACATTCTGGACAGCGGCCATTGCAGATCAGTGCACTGCCGGATGCTAGAAAGTCGAGAAGATTTGACGAAATGAATTGAGACAGAATTCCTTGAGGTCAAGAAGGATGTTTCAGAAGTCCTCTGCCCTTAAACATGTGAAATTAACAGTGAACTTCTTGACAACAACATTCAATTGTTCCACCCACACATATGTGGAGAAGTACTCCCATCAAACTGTGTAATTGGACACAAGATGAATACGGAATGTATTTCTGATGGACGATGATTGCAATAGCGTTATATTAAAATGCACTCTCGATGTATTAAAAGTGCTAACCTTTCTACTTCAGTGAGAGATGCGGTAAAGTTAAGGTAATAGACCTAGAAGTTGTAGCAGGAATACAAAAATTCAGTGTTAATGCTACCATGCTGGTTACTAAGTCCAGCATAAGTTCGAATCCTATTGGACTTACTCGTTCAATTTAAATCAATATTGATTCATCTCAATTAACAGCGAACATACAAGAAGTGATGTAAATTCTGCTTGAAAATGAATAAGAGAATGCACAATAGGGATATGTTAAATGTACAGGTATCAATCGTTCGAGGAATACTTCTTTGGGGCATATGTGCGTGTTCTGTATCAAATGTAAAAGTAAATCTAGGATTCTTATGGCAAAACTTGCAAATAGTTTATCGTGCATGATCCATTTGTTAGCGAATAATACCGCAGACGTTGCAACCTCCTCTTGAGAGGCAAAGCAACACCTCTCTGCTATGCAATTTGGGAAATTAAAGTGCGATTTGAAATCCGACAGAGTCTAAGTTTTCATATAAGAGGGTCTACCTTAGAGGGCACCTCCTTGAGCAAAGGTGTCATCCCTTGTGATACATGAAGCATGTATGTCTAATTTACACACAACACTACCACTCTTCCTTCAACCGGAAGTTCTGAAAATCATGTGTCTTGGTGTACTTTGATAGCCTCTGGACATTCTTGAACGAGAAATTGTGTAGGAGCGCAGGCTCCGACATAATTGAGAGAGTGTACACATTATACAGATACACGTCTATACATTAATCAGATAGTGGTAGGCTTGAGTGAAGAGAGAGAGATGGTAGCTGTTGTAGCATGTAGGCTTGCTCGTCACCTGAAAGTTCTGAATCACATGAGTTCATGACCTGTTTCGCACGCAACTTCCAGTCTCTTCTTCACTTCGTCAGTAGTTTCCTTTGTGTATCCCAGCTGAACCAGCGGTGCTTGCCCCACAAGATCGGTGATTCCCCTAGTCACTTCAACGAGTTTCTTCGAGGTGGATCTGTTCTTCACGATGTTCCAAGGCCTGGATCCCTGGCTGATGCACTCACGCACCAATGCTTCCGCTTCTTCCAGTCGGGATCGAAGTTTCTCCAGCCACTCTGTTACAGGCGTTGACTTGTTCTGACCCTGCCCTTTTTTTGAGCTATCACATAGGAATTGCACAAGTGGTGCCAAACCCTCAAGCAGCACGAGGAATGCCTTACAATTTTTGTTACGATCCACAGCTTGCTTGACTGCATCATCACCCCTGAAGCAACAGCTCGACTCCAGAGCTGATGACAACGCTTACAAGCTAAGCCATTCCAACGTAATTGTTGTAGACTGCAGCTGCTCCCTCGACATACAAAACGTATGGCCCCACACCTACAGACAACTTGCCTGGACAATGTGGTCCTCTGTAATTAGCATATGTTTGGAACGTTGAGCTTGTAATATCGTAAATCAGCTTTTTTAAGACAACTTCTTACAAATCATTCCCAAATGTGGAAACCTATCTTCCGCTAGTACTAAGATATATCTGACTATCCCTTGAGCATTGAGATAAGGAAAAAAAGCATTAAGATATGGAAAAAGAGATAAACCTTTAATTGGAGATACCTTTATATATATATATATATAGTTGGTTTGATTGCCACTCTTTTGCCTGTGGGATGACAAAACCCAAGAGGTTTAGGCATGAAGCAGTTCACAAACCTGCAACGTCTAGGGTGAAATGATCGCTACTTACCACCAACATGGAATTCAACAAGCAGACCAGCGAACCGAGATTATCGCGACGGACAGTATTTCCCTGGCAATTTTTCATCCCACCTTCACGTCCTGCAAAGTATTGGACCCACAACGCCCTGAACAGAGCAAGCAGCACAGCTAATTCCATGTCAGTCGGACACAATGAATGCACTTTCTCCATGTGAGTGCAGCTTCGGGGCATCTGGAAATGAAATTATGATGACTGAGATCTTTGCTGCAGAGAAACATGATTTCATGAGGAGACGAGTAATCGTCAGATAAATCATAATAGGCGTCCTTAACAGTGTCGAAGTACAGATGCTTCTGAGTGGGGTGTTTAGCAGAGGTACTTCGTTTCCACAGAAGAAATCAAATTGACATGGTCGACATTCTGATCACGTGTGCGGGCTAAAAACCTTACCATCAGCGAACCTAAAAGTTTTTCTTGATTTTCTAGTTTAGTTCTCATCCGCGTCTTATGAGCATGTGGTTACCTGCGTGCTGGCTTGGTGCTGAATCGGTGTCCGTCGTCTCTTGTGCATAAACTTTCCTCCCCTCCCCATCGCTCGCATTCCATCGACGAAGCTCACCGAGCGTGGAGGACCATTTGAGCACGAGTGCACTCTGTGTGAGACAGGAGTGCGAATGCTCACATTGTCTGACAGTGTACCCCGTTGAGTTTTGAAGGAAGTGCGATAGTGTGCCCGTCTGAGTACCCTAAAGACTTTTCACTGTTGCTTTGATGGTTGCGTATCATTTCATTTTTTAAATCTTTTCAAGCAATAGATTTATTTTTGGATGAGACAACATAATCTTCATAAATACATAGGATTGTATGCAAATTTTTTTCATGCAAATTATTCTAGATTTGAAATTTTTATTTTTTTTTCAACTATAAACTAAATAATTTTATGACTGTGTTGCATATAAATAATCAAAAATTTGATTGCTGGTGAGACTTTGAAAATCAAATGCAGTCAAAAGACATCGAAATAATCATACATTTCACATATATCATAAAATCAAATGTACACGCATAGCCAAAACTAAATTTATGTTGTTCGACACTATGAACTTCATATTGACAAAATTTATTCTGACTTTAGATTTTAAAAATTCATCTTGTGTCACAAGAATTTTAACAAGCTTTATTATAAATAAAAGACTTATGAGGGTTAAGCTAATTTAAGTTAAAACAAAATTATAATTATGACTAAACATATCTTCTAATCTAATCTAACCATCTAAATCTTTACTATCTCAATGATAATATTAACAAATTAGTGTTTTTGCTTTACATATTTGACTTATGTTGTTGTTGAATGAACTTTGCACTTTGTACAAATATATATCCAATTTTTGCATTCAATACTTATAATCACATGCATAGTTTATGTATTTTTATACATAAAACTTATATGTAATCAATATAAAAGTCATTCAAAGACTTGACTCATAAATCATATCACAATATATCATTATCCTTGATACTCTTGAGCTAGTTAAGATTTTAAAATTGTTTTAAACTTTTTCTTCATTTGAAATTATTTGTTCACCATATAAAAATCGGAATACTATCCTATTTACTATATCCTATATCCTATTTACTATCCTATCTATATCATCAAGTATATGAGGCTATCATCGTTTTGTCATAGGATTGTGATGACATCATTAACTTCTTGATTACATCAATTTGATATTGAGTTGCAAGATCTCAAAAAAAGTTGCCAAATGAGTACAATCTATTATAAACATTATCAAGTTCAACATATGAAGAACACGTTGACACAATTGTCTTGACTGAATCATGGTATTTTGAATCAAAATAATTATGAACATTCATTTATAATATTATTTTGAACTTTTTCAAATCCTTGATCTTCAATGCAAATCTCAATATATTTGTGCATCTATCATGGTAGAATTAATCATTTGTCAAGATAAATATGAAATGCACTTAAAATACAAGATTAATGAGATCAAAGATTTTCAATATTGAACTGTTTTATGTAGACACATGGATTAAACACACTTAGTGATATATCTTTTGCTGTCATAAACTCATCAATTCTTGCATTTCATACATTATGAAATGCAAAAATATTATTTTGATTCAATTCTGATTTAAAAAATCTACAAATCAGTTAAATTTATTGTTTTCAAAACCAATTGGTTGTCTCGTGTAAATTTTTGTATCACTGTTTGGAAAAACAATATGCAAATTCTCCAACTCTTTCAATGATTTTTAGAAAAAGCAATAATTTTACAAGATAGCAGATCTCATAACCTGTAAACCTTCATATCACTAGCATATCAACCAAAAAAACACTTTTCAGATGTATGATTATGTATATTCATATTGTAATCTTTAGATTGGAAAAATAAAGAAGTACAAGCAAAAAATCTTTAAAATCATAAATCATAATCTTTAAAATTTGTTTTTTCTTCAATCCAAAGGGTGGATAGAGTTTAGTATAAACCTTAAATTTATCAACAATGCTATGTTATGTTCAACCTAAAATTTTGTAATAACCCACTAAAGGCTAAAACTGCAATATAGTGGTAGAAAGGTCGAACCCACAGGGACAGAGGAACACACAGGGTACAAAGTGTCACGTTTAACAGACTATTGAAGAGTTTGAATTCTCAGGCGACTGTCACTCCCAGAAATACTGCAAGTGTCCACTAGGAGCGCACTCGGAGGTGGCACAGTGCAGCGTAACACACACACACACACACACCTGAAACTACAGAAACACAACCCAGAGATCCGTTAGGACCTCTACTCACGATTTGAGGGGGGAGTCTCTCAAGAGTACACTCAGCGAAGCTGCGGGTAGTGACTTCCAACTCCGGCTTTTACAACACTTCCACTAGCTTGCTGCTAGCGTAGGAAACCCGGTTTGGACTGCCTACTTCGGTGAACAACACTCTCAACTCACAGAACGCGCAGAGAACACGGGTCCGCACTGCAGGTGTCCCTGAGAAACATTCCAGTAACACAATAACAGTCTATTGAAGAGTTTGAATTCTCAGGCACTTGTCATTCCCAGAAATACTACAGGGGTTACCCTGAAGTCACATGCTGCAGCGTAACCTGAATTTACAACCAAGGCTTACACGAAGTAACAAAACTTCACTTTGGCATTCAGGGGAAAAATCCCGAAGGAGTACAACCAGAAACAAACACTCGAAGGTGTAGGGGCGAAACTATTCAAGTATCTAACTAGTCATTGGCTCTGAGCATCGGCAGTCACCCGCAAGTGTAGATCCGAACTACTCAAGTCTCTAACCAATGTACTAGCTCTGAACATTCGGCCGAAGGCCTTCAGCTACAAAATGCGGAACGCCAAGTTGTAGCTCCTCTTGCGCGGTGACAAAATTAAGGACACAAACACGCAGAGAAAATGAGTTCCTGATCTGCACTTCTGATGTTGGGAAAGATCCCAAGGCAAAACGCCTTGAACTACTTTATACCTTCTAAGTCCTAACTAGCACTACACTGCACTACGCTACACGCCTGCACGGAACCACGCTACACTACACTCCGCGGAACCTGTGCTTCGTCTCCTGCGCGACGGACTGCCGCGCACTAACTCCCTACCCTGCCAGTCTTCCGCTCGATTGCGCAGTCCTAAACGCTGCAACGCCGCGGACACCTCCACCTCGAGGGTGGACATGGTATCCCGCGCCTTCGACAGAAAAGAGTCTAACTTCTTCGCCACCTTCCGCCGACTCCTACTGTCACATGTCAACAACCCGGCTGCGCGAAGCTCTAACTCACGCAGTGTGAGTTTCTCCTGCGCCGCCACTTCCCAGTGGGCGTAGCCCTTGAGACAGTGGGCGACACGCCTCGCCATCTCCTCCTTCGTGCGATCTGCCTCTCGCTTGCGATCATCTTCAATTACCACCAACTGCGATTCGGCCTCCGCACGCTGCGCTCTCAATTCCCCGCACTCCGACTGTAGCCTGCGGATTAAATCCTCATCCGCCTGTCGTGCGAGCTGACACTCCGCCAACAACCGCGTCTGTCGCACGAACTCCTCTGACAGAATCTGATTCTGAGTTTTCTCAGAAATCAATTCTATCGTGGTCTTCACCACATCCCTATGAGCTCTTCCAGTCTCTACTTCTTCATTCTGTCGAGGGCGTGCGATTTCCTCACAAGGTTGTACTGACCCCACAAACAGGCATGCTTCTCCCTCAAGTCCTTCAACTCCTGGTCCGCCTTAGCTAGTAGCTTGCTGGTGTGGACTTTAGTGCGAGTCCGACTGTGCACTAATTCGATGTAGGATCCCGGCTGGAGTGGATCGGCGTATTTATCAAATTTGCGATCCAAGTACTTCAGCAACGGTATCACCTGCTCAGAGAGCGCCGCCGCCGGCGCTCCAACAATTTCCTCCTCCTCCTCCTCGGTATCTCCTGACCCCGACATTGCTTCTGTGGAGCCTCCGTCGTCATCACCCGAGTTAAGGATTTCAGTCGCCATTGATTGCGTTGGCGACTGACCCGAGTGGGGCTGCACGTCGTCTACGGGTGCTGCCCCCGAAGGCACACCTGCAGCTTCGCTGCTCCCCGCTAAAATGTCCAAGGCGGTGGGTGAATGTGGTCGTGCTACATCCCCATCCCCCGCCTGTTGATCGTCGACTGCGTCCCCTTTGCCGCCGACGTCCGCCGCCGAAGGCGATCGAGCGGAGTGTGTCTGCGCGGGGTGTAATTGCGCATCGCGCACCTGAACTTCGTCCCGCGGACAGACAGTCCGCTCCTCCGTCAGGTCCTGCTCCCTCGATCGGTCTTGCGCGAGGGCTGTGTCTGGCCTGTGCGCAGGCGCAAATGCTGGCGCCTGTTCCGCCGCAGGCGCAGCGCCGAAGGCGTCTATCGCCGAAGGCGACATAGCCGGAGGCCGCTCGCCCAATGTCCCTTGGCCCGAAGGCCCTACCGCCGAAGGCGCATCTACCGGCGGATGACCCGCCGAAGGTGCGGTCTCCGCACGCTCCCTGCCCGCATCTCGTTGACCCGAAGGCCCTGGCGCCGAAGGCGCAAATCACGGCGCGTTGTGCGCCGGAGGGTCTGGTCCCGAAGGCCCTTGACCCGTAGGCGGATCTTCCGCCGGCTCCTTCCCCTTCCTACGTTGGACCGGGGGTGAATCCTGCCTGTGCGCAGGCGGCCTGTGCACATGCGAACGCCTGTGCATAGGCGGACTTTCTCTGCCTACGGGTAGGCGGAGTTCCACGTCCGCTTGGGGTCGCCTGTCCGTTGAAGCTCGCCTGTGCGCAGGCGGAACACCGTCCGCATCGCACGTGGTAACTCTGGAGGCCCTTGGCCCGTAGGCTGCCTCTCGTCCGTCGAAGGTGCAGCGTGGTCCGTCGCTCCTGCAGACGTCCGCACTCCCTCGTTCTTCTCCGGCGACGCACTTCCTTTCTCCGTGGCGATCGTCGCCGTGTCCGCGCTGCTGGCTGGTAACACAAGCCTGCGCGCCTTCGGCTTCGGCCGGCTGCACACTTCGTGCAATGGCCGCTGTCGAATGGGAGCAGTGGGTTCTCGATGCTGCTTCTTTTCAGACTCCTCTCTCCATCGACGCTTCCGCGGCACTCTTGCTGCGGGGGTGTTTCTTCCCTCGTCCCTCCGCCTTGGTGGCGTAGACGCTGGTGACTCCTCTGCGTCGGTGTCGACCTCGTTATCCC